GTATGAATAAAATATGTGTATTAGATAGTAAATAAATACTTTTGTCCATACATAACATTGTATCTCTGCAATTATCTATTCTTAAATGAGTCATAAACGATAAATTTATTGAAATGTTCTGTCGTTGATTGTGTCATTAAGTACTGTATTTCACAGTATTATTCATATAGCAGTTACTTATGGCGCAAACATTAATCAAACAAAACTACATGTATATATACTATCTTCTTTATCAACCAACCAGTCAAAATCAACAATTTAAATAGTAATTTATAATTATGCAACTATAGCACTGTACATTATTCATGAATTATAGTAGGCTCCTACATGACTACCTAATATTATACCTTTTTACAATAATTCTGTCTTCTATGTAACAAACTAGCAAACTATCCTTTCTCAAAAAAAAAAAAAAACTAACAAACTATGGAATATTAATTAAATATTCTGTGAAATACCATGAATATCGAAAGTTCAACTTGCGAAATATGATCACCGAACAAGTCCACAAATATTTTTAAAATAGCATAATTCACATCGTAGCGACACTTTCCTGTAAATGGTAACCTAATTTGCTAAACACATAATTCATCCGTATGTTATTTAGCTAAAAAAAGAATTCATATACATATTACAGATAACAAATAACAAAAATCTTTCAAGTATTTCAAGAGACAAAAGAATACATCATTCACGTGTACAAACGCACGTAGATATAATACGCATAATTAATGTATATATGTATGTTCGAGCATGTTTTCTATAAAAAAAAATTGTCTAGGGTTTGAAGGCAAGTGGAGATTAGTGTACGAGGAAGCGGTACGATGGACCAATGAATGCATACTTCGTGGGGGAATTTCGAAACTTTATAATTAGTTTAGTCAAATAAGTAGTAATATTTTTAATCATACGATAAGGAATCAGTCGGGTCTATAAAAAGAAATTGTCTGCAGAAAATTTAAAAATTAATATAAGTTCTTAAGTACGAGTTTTACGGAATATTAAAACTTAAGATGAACCTAATTTCGTCACTGAAGTCGTCACTTGGAAAATATGATAATGGCAGGAGGGTAGTATTTTAATTTAACTAATTTCTAAAAGCGGCAAGATTTGTAGCCTAACGAGGATAATCGTATTACCCAACTTGCTAGTACGCTTCTTGATTGTTCTTAGTGCTTCAATATTTAATTCGTCAATCGGAAAACTTTATGATACTAATTATATATATATAGTTAAATAATTAGTGGATATGCTTTTTTGCTTATGGAGTCTCCTAGAAAACAAACAACTTGCAAGCAAGACCTAGAATCTCAAACCGATATTTTCACTTTTATAATCCAAATTCGCTTTTTTAACACACATAGTTTCCTATTCAAATATTATAAATGAATCCTAAATAAAGGAATAAAACCTTATGTATGTGGTTGTGAATATGGTTATATGCATTTTTTGTTCACAATTTCATAATGGGATGTGATCTTGGACTAGTTTCGTTAAATTCCGTTGAATGATATTAGTTTCGGTATTTATATAGTACTTTTCAAGATGTACTGTACACAACTAGAATAATTTTAAAACATGAATTAAGTTTTGATTCATCTTTTTCAGTGTTTAAATGT